TACAAAATAAGCTTTTGCGGACGTAATTAATTACAAGACTAATTACAAGGAAGTAATTACAAGACTAAATAAATAAAATGGAATTGGACATTGAAAAATTTGGAATAAAGATGAATAAAGCAAAACAAAAATTTAGGTGATAGGAGAGAAGGAAGAGATGAAGACCACTTAGAAGTAGGAATAAAAAGTCACGGAAAATATGAAGATTAACTCAACAATAAAAGAGACAACTGAGAAGTTACTTATTGCTTTTGCATACTTGGTTTCACATCGGTCTGAGTATGATTCTTTTCTTTAGATTTTCTTTGTTTTATCTCTCTTACCCTGCACCTTTTCCCTGTTCTCTACTTGCTATATTATTTATTAATAGAGATATAGCTGATATATCTCTAATTTTTAATAGGATATTTTCGAAACATTACCTATGACAAGAAATGTTCATGTTAACTATCTTAAGTATCTCTAGTAGACAATGCGTGCTACAATATTCCGACACCAGAAAATGGCACATAACCATCCCAAGGCTTGACGTTTATCAAGAAACTTGACTGTTGGACACAGTCCAAATCAGTGCTGTTGCGCTGTTTTGCGAGAATATGGCTAAATAGCAAGTAAGATGACGTAGTTATAATGATGACTATTAATTTATGTATGTATATGTTTGTAAGTCTTGATACATTTATAGCACAAGGTTCTCAGCGGGCTTAGTTATACTTTCTCACTAGGTATCGGTTATTCAGGGTTAGGAAATATAAGTTTTAACGGACGTTAATATAGAACCTCAAAGTATGTACAATATTAAGAGTTTGCTTAGCAGAGAAACCCAATACAATGTCCTCCGATTTATCGCATAAAGTAACTGTAATACTATTTGTTGCAAACAACTGATCTGCGATGGAAACTAGGTCTAAGGATAGCCGTTATCCATCAATCGCTAGCATGGCGTTATTATTGTCAGTGGAAATGGTAATTTTATGACAACTTTATTAAAGTTTTTGATCACATTACTTGATAAGTTAACAGCAATTCATTTTGGTTGTTTGTATGGCCACTCCTAGCAAGATCCTATCGGGATGGGTAACTGCTGTTGAAAAACATGCGACAAATTTTCCGCCCTTGTAGATTTATCTCTCTTAGATCCAGCAGTGTAAATGTTTAGCATTATATCTTAATGTGAATTGCACACTAGTTGCAGTTCAAGTCCAAATGAATGGTCGGGTAAACCAGTGGGTGTGTTACAATTTGTTCCAAATCCTACCCACACCCATTCGTTCCAGAGATTGCTTTAAACGTCACCAGATTTCGTAGTCTGCTTACTGTTCATTCATTGCTGTTGATACAATAATACATAGTTGATACAATGTTTATGGCCAGTTACCGGACAACATGAGTCTAGTCGTAGTTGTGTATCTCCACATGTGATTATCACTCTCTCTCTCTCTCTGTTTAACTTCGTAGTGGGAACTCCATCTCAAACGTTAATATAGGATTACACCGAAATTTATTACTATTGATATTCGTAAATTCAGTAACATTTAAAGCTGAATATTTTGCATTATCCTCTCCCTTTTTTATAAATTCTAACTTCTGATCAACTGTTGTATCATCACTCATCACTAACATTTTTCAGACAATCTGTCGTCGGCATGATAAATACTTAGTTGTAATTTCTTAAACTTTAATTGTTTTAGAATAAACAGCAGAAAATGTATCACTTTAAATTATTTTCTTTTTATTATTAAGACAAGACAAAATCCTGGATAAGTGGATAAGTTCTGGATACCTCTAAGTCGCAGTTACAAAAGATCTGATTCGCCGACTTTTCATCCACATTGTAATCATCGTGTATGATCGCTACACCGTCCTATTCTTTAACATTCCAATAGTCGCATGTCATTTAAGAGATGACGTAGACAGTTTGTCTGAACTAACCAGTTAATACTTTTGCATGCATTGAATAGTCATCTTAGAGATGACATGCGCCCATTCTTGTAGTAACCGGAGGCGCGACTACTGCAGTGTTAAGAAGGAAGCTAATCGATTCTTTAAAGAATTCTGAAAAGCTCTAAGAACTCTTCTTGTTTTTTCCATTTGTTAGTCGTTTCCTACTTCTTACTCCCCGAGTACACTACTTAATGTAATCTCATTAGCTGTTACCAGTTCACACAAGATTTTATGGCAACCAGCCAGCAACGTAGATTAATTCAGAGTCCTTTTAATTAACGGAGGGCTTACCCACAATCGGTTTTGCAATATTTTTTTAATTTTATAGACCACTAGATATACAAAAAAATATTGAAAGGACGTTAAATCTCAACAATAACTGAGATTCCGTCTATCTATGAAAGCCGAGACGATTATTGAGATTGTAAAGAACAGATTTCTTTGTTTCTATTTTCTAAATTATCTAAACACGTAAAGTCAAATTCATAATTTCTATAATTTTTAACGCTACTTCAATTAATTATAAAATCTGTCTCAGAAAATTGGAAGCAATCAATATGAAAATTGTCATGAAAATTGAAGATTAATTCCTTTTGTCTGAAAAACATTTGTTAAAAGGAGAGCTTATAGAAAGATTTAATAGTGTCTCTGAAGTAATAACAAAATTTCTTGAAAATAAGGAAACATTTAGACTGCCGGATATTGTTAAAGAGATATATTCAACATTACAGTAGAAAAATAAGATAAAAAAATAAGACTAATGAAACTAAAATCATAGCTGATTTGCCTTCAATAGAACATACTTGTTATCACCTTCATTCTGTATATCTTATACATCGTATAAAGAAACAATTTTAATAATAATAATTTTAATTGTGATCATATTAACAACAAAAAATATATTGGTAATATATTCATCACTTTTCTTTTTTAATCCTCTTATTTCACTAATAACATGTGATATACTTCACCTAATAAAGTTCATCTAAAAATACCGTCATTTACATAAAAAAATATAACTGTTGATTAGTAAAAGGTCGACATCGCGCCTTGTTTTAGCGTGTGTAATGAATAAACACAGAATGTATCCCACGTATATTACTCAAATTAATCAAACGGTACAGGACTTCGTTAAAGAGCTTTTTAGAAATTTGTTTCGACTTTTTATGGTAACGTACCAGAAAACAATTTCGGAGTATACCATAGCTGCCTTGCAATTTATTGTAACAAATGGCTTCGCGAACTAGATTAAGGAGAATAGTACGAAAGTGCTTTGCGCCTGTAACATTTACCATTTATCTTATTCACGGAACAATTTGATGCTTTTCGAAACCTTTAAACGTTTCAAAACAACTTTTCATTTGGTATTTTATCCACCTCTCCATAAACATGATTAAAAATGTTATTTTTTATTTTTCATTAAAATAAGTTTTATATTATGTCAGTTTGTTATATTATTTTATTAAGTTATCTTACATTTTATCGCGGTAGTTTTCCTCGTACGTGTTATCCACATATAAAATGTTCCTCGACTATGTGATAAAAAGATTTTTATCTTCTTCGACGGAACCAGAACCCCACATTAAGGTGTTTGCGTTACGACTTTGGAGTAAGCACTTTGTCACTAAAAATGCTATTACCACGTTGGGAAATAGGCAGTGGTTCTAAACTTTAAAAATAGTAGCATTTACATACCATAAAAATTATTATATAGAAAAATGTAAAAAGGTTAGATTCACTAAAAATATATTAAAGGTTATTTTTTAATCTCTTAAAACCACAGCAGTACTCTCAAAGAAGCTTTCATTTAAAAGAATGAAAAGACGATGTTCAAAATTTGCCGACGCTCCCTAGAGTTTCTTTATTTCATTTCAACGTTGAATCACCACAAAACCGAATCGGATGAAATGAATTGTGGCAGTTCCTGGTAATCTTGTAACGCGAAATTAACGAAAGCAGCATGAAACTCGCGGAAACGTCCCCCGATGAATCAACGTTACTTTGAAAAGACCTACCATCCCCCTTTCTACGCATATTCGACCTGAACCTCTTTGTCTAGTAGGGTAGCACGATTCATTGTTAGTCAAAAGGCCGCATTGTAATTTTACCATATTGATTGTGCTTCTAGCATCAGGTTGGCACTTTCCACGTGGCTCGTTTACAACAGGGAAAACGTTCTTTATCGATCCCATTGCACGTTTTCGTGTAAATAATTATATGTTTTGTATCTTTCTTTATTTAAATATTTATAATTAATAGGAAATTTTGATTATAATTTAATAATAAATTACTATTTATGGAGTTTTTTGTAGAATAAAGTGTGTGTATACGGTTATTAGGAATAACGTTCGTTCTTAATTGGATATCCACTTGAAAATAAGGCTGGACTTTGTCAAGTTAAGGGGTGAATATTTCACACTTTTAACCCTGTAATCAGAGAACCGGGGTGTGTTTTAAATTAGAGCATCTCTCTGTAGCGATTGTGAGCATAACGAGGTGTGGTAATTGCGCAGCTTTTTCCCTAGGGGGGTAAAAACTTTATTTCTAAACTCTCAAGACAATGCAAAATATACATATATTGAAATAATATACTTTAATGGACCAAAATAATAATATAACTTAACGTTTTAATACATTAAATTTTTTGAGTTAAAATCTTATAAAAGAATTATCTAGGGTAAAACAAATTTACTTTAAATTAAATTATACCAAACAATGCATTCAAACTTTTCTCATCAGCGGTTTTGTTATAATTTCTACGGCCCATGATTGTCGGGATAAAGGTCATGACCACAGGAGGGATTACAGAACCCTGGTAAAAAAAATCCAATTTCCAATTATGGAGTTACAACAGCCAAATCACACTGGCATTGTATTCTCCTGTTTTCTCATTTTACGTGTGAAGAAAACTTGGCGATTGTCACGAGTTTCATACGAACTTCTTCGGCAAACGAACAAATAATCGAACTTTTAGGGCTTTATCTCGGCGCAATTTGCCCGTAATGTTACTACACACTCTTGTTTGTATTGGCACTTACCAGCATTTCTTGTTTCAGAGTTCGCGTAGAGTACTACGTCAATGAGAATACGTTCAAGGAACGGCTGCAGTTGTACTTTATCAAAAATCAAAGATCTAGTAAGTAACATTTTTATTTTAACTTTATATTTAGTTCTAAGTTACAGACCTGTATTATTATCATTAAAATTCGAAATTCGTTTAAATAATAGCACGTTTTGATTAGATGTAATAATTAAATGAAACGTTGTTCTAAGCTACTCGATACTTTCTAATATAAACATCGTTTGTAATTAATAGAATTTATTTGTAGCTAACAAGAACTTCAGGATATGCTATGAATACTAAAAATATATGGAAATAGAATAAATGTTGATCTTTATATAATTAATTTTTTACCGGGTATTAAATTGTTTTGACTATTTTATTTTTGTGAAGCTTCGACGTTACAATCAAGCTCTTAAGAAACTATTAGAGATGAGAAATAAGAGGCTATAGATGAATCAGGATAATATGCACTTCGTACTATGGGCAATATTATTATCATAGAAAAAACAGTAATAGTTCCAAGATAGATCCCAATTTTCAAGCTGATATACTATGTTCCACACAGTATTCTTCTCTCTCCAAACACACGTAGAAAAAAAACTGGACATAACTGAGCTACTCTTCTAAAGTTATGTTATGTTTAAATAATTGTTACAACCATCTTTAAGAGCTACGTATTTCCTTTCTAGATGAAACTACTCAGTAATAAACAGTTATTTCAACAAGGGGTATTAGGCGAATATATACACTAGCTCACAACTTATTTGGTCCAGATGAATTCAGACTTATCTGACTTATAATTGTTTTTTATTATTCTAATATTTAGTACGCTTTTAGTATTTATAACTAGTGATGGACACCATCGAATGAATGAAAAAGTTCTTCCAGTACAACAACTTGCGAAATTTGTAAAAAGCAATTGAAATACAGTGGTAACACGTCCAACATACGCGACCATTTTTGGTGCAAGCACCACGGGTATCTTGAATTAGATAGTTTATATAATAATAATAATAATAAATCTTTATTGGCGATGTCATACAACAGTATTTGCGCAAGTCAAAAAAAAGCGTATAATACATAAAAAATAAAATAATAAAAAATACATGTAACATTACCGCTAGTCAACTAACAACATCAAGAACATCTTAAAACTACATCCACAATAAACCACGGTACAAATCCGGACGAGTAAGGCATGCAAGATAAGCCTATACTAGATCATCAAAAGTGCTCAGACAGTACTCATCCACACTGTAGAATGCTCTCGCTAACAGTGCAGAATTTAACCCAAGCGAGAATGGCATATGATAAGTGAGCATAAAAATATCCATAGTATGCTGTCATTACTGTATTTACTGGAACGATATCAATTAAATTTCTGATACAGTAAATAATTTTGTTTAATTTACTAGTAGTTCGTACTGCATGCTCTTCCCATGTAAGTTTACGATCTAAATGAACTCCTAGATATTTGACTGTAGGGTTATCAACATTATCATTTAGTGCACGTAATGAGAAGATTAACCGCTGAGTCTTAGATTCATTTACGCTAAGCTGATTAGCTGAAAACCAGTCAAAAATGCAACCCCGAGATACAACCACCTCACTAAAAAGATCTGGCAAATTATCACTTATATTCACAGTGGTTGTGCCATCAGCAAATAATATAATGTTACTTGACGCAGGAACGTTATCAGCCAAGTCATTAATAAATAATAAAAAAAGTGTGGGGCCCAGCACAGACCCTTGAGGTACTCCATACTTAATAGATAATTTTGAAGATAGTCTATTTTTATAAATTACTTGTTGCAATCGATTTGATAAATAAGCTTTAACTAGCTTAACAGAACCAACATCAAAGACAAAATTTTATAATTTAATTAACAATTGGTTATGAGATACGCAGTCGAATGCTTTCGTAAGATCGTAAAACGATGCCTGAACATAATGTTTGTTCTCAAAACATTCATTAACATATGAAGCTAATTTGCAAATTGCTGACGTAGATGATTTATTTATGGCAAGATGAATTCCAACAATTAGGTGATCGACACAATAATGAACCGTTAACATCAAACCAACACAGATTTTCAATTGGACTTATTTAAATTTATACAATTAGCTTTAAGTGATGACAGTTCCAAATAAGCCGCTACTGCACGAGTTCTAACTTGCTCTTCAGATCTTTATCTTGATAAAAGCGAAAACGATTTCATATGCCGAGATTTTTAGCACTTTGAAGTAAATTTTGCTGCAGAATTTTAAGGTACATATTTTTATCCATAATTCCGTCAATAAATACTAAATTCCCGACTTCGGCGTAAAAGTTAGGACATTATTAGTAGTTTTACAGAACTTTTGATTTACCTTGAACTTCCGCGCCATGAATCGCTGGCCGATTATGTAAAAAGTTTTGTTTGGCGCGTTTCGTTTTTTATGGACCAAGCACGTACTTTTTTATTTGTTTTGCACACAGTAAATTCAATATGCATCCAAATTTCTGCTATCAAAATCATCTCGATGTTTAAACGCACATTTAAGTAAAAATGCCTGTATAAATGACAAACCAAATATTTAGCGAGTGATTCATTGTATTATTTTAATTTTTTTTTGTACGCGTATAGTTTTTGCAAAGACACTTTGGTGCTTATATGCTATTGTATGTTGCAACAGTACTTGCATCTATATGATCTATATGCATCTACATGATAATAGATAAAATGGTTTTATCTTAACATTGTAGTAATAATTATTTAATTATTTAAAGTATTCCTGTACCTGGCAGTATCCCAAAGGATTAATAAATTCATGCTGGATCCTAATAATTGTTTCTTTACTAAGTTACTAAAGTGGACTTAAAAAGTTACCCATGCAAAGTGTAGATGGTGCGAGAAAAGCTTTTCGGGTAAGAGAACTGTTCACAGATTTTTTCAACTCTCAGACCGGATTGGTGTCATAGCAAAATAACAGAATTTGAAAGGAACTACTATTTTAATGAATCATATTATTTACTATCTAACATTGTTTGTTTTTATTACCCTAGTAAAGATAAATATGAAAGTTCCATACTCAATTATTTACATTTATACATATAATTTGTGTAAGCTAAAATAAAATAATATTTTCCTACTAAACATATTTTATTTATTTCATATTAATTATTCAATGATTATCCTGAATAATATCGTAAATAATATCTGTGCAATGAAGGCTGAGTTTGTACTGATACTGCCAAAATATCCTGCATTGCGTTCATTGTAGAAAACAGGATACTCTCGCACCAACCCGATGAATAGGACACGAAACTGACACGGCACTGATGTGTGTAAATAGGCCATTACCGGTCCAGTATATCGCATTTTCTATAATAGAATCATTACTTCAGTTTATAGTATAGCAATGCCAGCTCATTTTAGACTTGGTGTCTGGATGGCAAAATATGTTTTCATATATTTTCTTGATCGAAAAGCTTTGATCGACTTGCTACTTTTAGCTACATTTATGCACCTGGAATTGTTTGATGAAATAATAAAATATGTATGTTTAGTGAATAGATGGAGTATTGTTTTTTCCAATAGACCCCTTAATTTTTGCCTAAATATCTTAAAACAAAGGTTCAAAAAATTTAGCTTCCTTTTTTAACACATTTCAGATTGCGGAAAAACAGTTCTAAAGAATTGTACACATTTGAATAGTAGATTGGTTCGTAGAACAGTTTGTAATTGATTGGATACTGGTCAATAGATTTACTCTCGTTATTTAACATGTTCGATTGGAATTTCGAGTTTGAAGCTTAAACTCGAAAAAATAGTTTTACAAACTCAAACATCATCACATTTTGTAAAGTAAACATCGAATTAGGACATAACATTTTTGATTATATTTAGAGGATACGAGAGTATAAGTTAAAATGTAGATTTAATATAGCTGATAACTGCAATTCCATACACGTTTAGCTAACACCTTCTCCATTAACCCCCACAGGAGTTCCTTTACGAGCAACCTCAACTTTTAACATCGTTAAGTTTAACTATCGATCGTTTCCCTATAGTTACGACTTATACTTGGTATTCTCACGACATAGATAGATAGAAATCACAGCACAAGACCTATCGCTATCTTACGTTTTAACTCAATTCGTACATACAGGTAACATGTGAAAACCGGATTCCATTTTAAATAAACTAATGGAATAATATCGCGCATTTTAAAGAAATAGATCAAATCTTTTGTATGTATGGCAAAATTTTTAAAATTTACTTGGAATGTGTGAACGATCAGCGCATGTGTTTCGTGGTTAAATTGAGTGGTACTAAATTGTGAAGTGAGTGATATTGATTTTGAAGATGTTTATTTTTAGCAGAGTAAAAGGTCAATATCCTGGTATTAAAAGAATTGCCTTTTTCATTGAGCTAGTGATACAAAAATATCATAGTTTGTAAATAATATTATTGATTATATTATTAAATATTAAATTATTATTAAATATATACTGAAGATTTCGTGTTATTCTGGCTGCCATATAATGCGCGCAAAAATCATAATCCATAGAAAATACAATAACAAAAAAGGACTTAGAATAAGTCAAATCCCTACGGTACTTTTGCATTTCAGAAAAATCTACGTTTAACCCTCTTATACCATAGTATTAAAGTTTTGTATGTTTGGTATGCATGGGAATTATGATTGCTTAAAGCAATATTGGGTGGTATTTTGGAGACATGTTGAAGCAAGATATTTTACATTTTTAATTCCGAGGGTTTGGAATGATTTATTATGTTATGGCTAGAATAATGGTGGTATCTCAGGAGGGATCCTGTAGTTGGAATATAACATGTTAGGGTTTGTTGTATTATATGGGGTTATATTGATGTGTTTAGTTTAGATTTGTGAATCGAGGAAAAGTATACAGCTAGCAGGTTAACTTTATTCGAGTCGGTGTTATTAATGGTAGTTAAACCGTTGAATAAATTTGAATTTGGTTTTCAGTTTACTCTCTAATTGCTGGATGAAGTTGTCCTCGAGTTTCAGGACTTTATGTTTTCAAGATTAGGTTAGATTTGCATTGACTTAGTTCTAATTGAACCTTATTTAATTATTTAGGTTGTAATACTATGTAACAGGAGTGTGCTTGCTTCTGGACTACTGGATAAATTGCTAATGAAAAAGTTTTCATTAGCCTGATGAGACTGATGAGATCGAAGTGAGTCACATCTGGTTAGAAAATGTTTACGTGGGAATACCATTTTTTACAAGAATAGCCAAAAAGCCATGGAGCAGTGGGAAATATATTTTTGGAACTTGGTACATACTGAGTTTCGTTTAACAAAAGGAACTTAATTTTCTACGGCATAGGATTTCATTAATGTCGAGCACTTATTCGATAATGATGTTACAGTTTAGGTGAGCTGTTACTGTTGAGGGCGGTTAAGATACACGTCTTTCGGGGTAAATCTAGAAGTGGAAATTAGTATTATTACCTTGCTTATTGTTGAGGGGGCATCACGGATGTTGTGAGAATAAGATCGTTACGTTATTGCGAGCAAGGTAATGCGGTTACTGTTATGTTATTAATATGCATATTCTTTTCATTATGATTCTTGATGTACTTCCTGCTATTCATGTACTTGGCGGTCTTGACGACACATCGCTGTTGAAGTTTGTTTCATCTCGTGATTGTTTCTTTGAGCTATGATAACTTATTCAGAATGTTCTGGGTTTTCAAAATTAGCACACAGGTAATTAGTTATAATAATAATAATAATAATAATGCAATTTATTAACCCTCAAAAATCTTTTACATATAAATCACTTTACATAATAAAGAAAATTAAGAAGTTGTTTTGTTGTATGGCAGTACAGTGTTTTTCGGGAAATCTATCCAACTCTGGGAAGCTGGCTCAACAGCTTTATCTTGTTGTTTTACGAGCCACATTTAGGTAGGAACAGTAACTAATCTAAGCTAAAATCACGAATCACTTTAGAAAGCCGGAGCAATGAAGAACATCTAACTGTACTCTTCGACAGCATGTCGAATATACTCTTCAGCAGTGTGAGAACAGAGTTTTCATCATGGTCAACAACCATGCTCAATCGTTCAAAAGCTCAAATTTAAATAATATCTCAGAAAGGGCTTATTTATATTCATTATTGCTTCACAACATTTTCTTTCTCAAAATTTGTAAATTACTATTTACCAATAACACTTTGCAAGCAAAATACAAGATTCTAGTGGAACCATCTTTTGAAATGTAAGACAACTAAGTTTACCACAAATTATTCTTTGGATCCTTTTTTTGACAAAGACTTTAATTAGTAAATGTAGATAACAAACTTCAAAAAATACTACCCTGATACTCTCTTATCAACAGAAAACAAAATTTTTTAGTACACGATATTTATTACAAGTTCTTGCCCATCAAAATTGTGATCATAGTAAGTAACATTTGCTTTTACGAGGGAGCTTTACATTTTGATAGCGTCATGAATAATGCTACAATTCGAAAATATTTCGGTTAATTTTTAAACATTTATGTGGAAAGCAAATATGTAGAAAAACTTGAAGGCTATCACACACTGGATATTAATGATTAATGAACCAAGATGACTACTCTGCGAAATACTGAACCGGAACCGCGACGTAGCAATTTCCATTAACTAACACAATCTGTGTTCTCCTATAAATGTAGAATAATCCACAGAAGCAATCCACTGAAGTAATCTACCATTTATCATAATTTTTGCAAGCTTGTTCACCAGGAGCTACGATATATCAACTGGGAATAATTCAACAAGGGAGCTTAAAATGTAGTTCGCGTATAATAGTAATTTACTCTCGACCGTGCCTCTTTACATCAAATATGAATGCTTGTAATCCAGCTTTTCTAAGATTTTACTGAATAGTGGTGTAAGAGATATTGGTCTATAATTTGAGTTAACACCACGGTCACCAAATTTAAAAATTGATATAACATTATTTATCTTGTAAGCAGTAGGGAAAGCAATAATGGTAAATAGATATGAAACAGGCAATCTTTTTATGAGAGCAAAAAACTAAAACTAGAATTGAATCGAAACACCAAAAGTGATTAATATTAATATTATTACTCAATCAATTACATTTCAATTACAATACATTAATGTTTTATTTTTTTTTTTTCAGGTTTAAGAATACGAATTGCAAATTTAGTTTTTAAGCTAGTCACATGTGCCCTCTACATAATTCGTGTGATGACGGATTCCGATCCAATATCCGCATCCTGGTGAGTATTAATCGATAATTTCCAGAAATTATCGTATTTTGAAATTGTTTAAAATTAATTGAGTCAAATTCGCCCGTGTTCATTAACTGAAACAATTCTGTACTCGGTTTAATTTTGAGTAATGAAATTATTACGAGTAACAATGGGTTCGTTGTGTTTATCTATTAGTAAATTAGTTGTTTGTGTGGACCACGCCAAATAAACCAGAATAGTTTAGGATTTTCGGGAATGATTGTTTTCAAATATTCATTGTGGGTATATTGCATCAATAAATTTTTAATTCTTTGGATTACATATTATATTATTTTTGTAGTAAAATATATTAAAAATTATAAACACGATAAAAACATTAAAAATAAAGTAGCGCTGAACTTGTTTTAAACCACCAGCTGTGGTAATAACTTTCTTCGCGGTTGCTTGTTATTGATTTTCTAAGCCCGAGAACTTTAATATTGAAAATTTATATTAAATTCAATATTTATGAACAGTTTCTGTAGTAAATACGAAATAAACATGAAATCTGCGTTTTACAATTTGTTCACAACAGCAATAAGTTTATTATTTTTTTTTAGTTTTTGCACAACTTTGTCATAAAACTACTTCTAAAAAGGATACGCCCTTAGGGAACGATGAGGCTATCGGTGTTTTATATCCCCTTTTAATGCTTTCTAGCTACGGTTGTACACCGGGGAACAAGACGGAGTACAAGATCTCAGCAAACCTGACCGAGGAGAAGTTTCAAGAAAATCCCATCATCAATTGGGATGCGATTCTGTGGGTGAACCGCCCCCTGGAGCTGTGGATCGTTCAGGTCATATTAGCGATGATAAGCCTGACGGAAGCCCTTCTTCTCGCTTACCTCGGCTATAAGGTAATTCCACAACGACAGGTTATTTGTCATAGCTCGTGTTCTTGTGTTAAAATAAATTAAATTACTTTATACCATCTCAAAAAGATAAAACGATTTTCTCATGTAAATATTAAATGATTTAATTTATAAATTATTAAAGATTTTCTGTTCAATTATACTATGGAATAACACGATATGACACATTCGATTAGTTCTGGGCAATTGTTTCCAACAGAATTCATGTATGCGTACATGTGTACTCATTCTGGGATATGTAATTTTGTGGGTAACTTGAGAAGGGTTACTCCAAATAGACTGTGAATAACACACGACCGCTTTGCTTAAGTGGTTGGAAGTGGAATATTGATTATTTACTAAGCGGCTCTTGAAGTTGCGAAGTTTGCGTAACGTGATTCTACATAAATTTATGCATGAAATATCATTAAAGATGTTTGAAACCAAACCGTTGAGATTAATTCAACAATTTCGATTTAACACCAAAAGTAAAAATGCTAGTAATATGTCTAAAAACCTCTATAATAGTCCTTTGAGAGTTTTCATTCCTAGGAGATCTACTGGATGAGATTTAACAAGCGATTTAGTAGAGGAAATTGAGTCATTTCAAAGAGAGTGGCTGAAGAAGTTCCAGCCGGAATTTAAGAGGACGTTTTAAGTTAAAGCGATAATAGACGGTATTTTCAGTTATAAAGCATTATTTAACCCTGTCGCGAGATATCCGAGAATCGATTTTATGCTTGTCCCCGTTTTACATTTTATTTACCGACGTGTTGTAATACGCTGGTGGTTAATAAAATTTTTCGTTCTGCTTCACCAGGGTCCCATTACGATAAACTTTGCACTTTCAAAATTATCAAGGGAAATATAGAATGTATTGAATTTATAATATGATATTTAATCATGAATCTTAAATTTACGGATAAATGTAAAATTTATAATACGAAATATTTAAGTATTCGATTAAATTAAATAAATTTTAATAATTTTGAGTTATAAAAATTAAGTAGTAATTTCGTTTATTTCATATGATTTACACCCATCGATTTTTAGCAGGAATGGAATGCAACGTAAACTGATTTAAATCGGTGATTTATCGCTTTAAAATTTTCACCACGTGTACAGTTATAGTAGAGGTATGCAAATTGAACCTAACAAAATGTTTGGTCATCAATTTATTTCGTTTACATAAAAACACATAGTAAATCAGTTCAAAAACTGATAATACAAACCCAAATTTAATAACTAACACAAAATATGTGTTTTGAGATACACCTAAAGTAATTATTGAAATAAAACGTCTAGAAAAGAATGTTAATTAGAGATAAACTGTATTAAATTTCAATATAGGAACTAAATCACATATCAAATTTATCTGTTGTCATTATTCAAACGTCATAAATTATGGGTTTATTATAGCGTTGGGAAAGCATTTAGTACTTAAACGATCGCCACTGTGTTATTAACTCATTACGTTTATAACTTCCATTTGTTTTATGTTGCAGCATTAAACGTTAACTGGGGTACTTTATGTACCCCATCCTTAAAATAATTTTTATCCTGTTGTCTTTTTATAAATTGAATTATTCCCTTAATACATTATATATTTTCACATATTCCATTAAAGTATAAGTAAGAAAATATATCATTCTAATGAGCTATACTATTAAAGTTTAACCATGGGGATCGCGACATTTTGTACACAGAATAAAGCTTTGTAACAGAAAGATTTACTTCATAGTGTTTATTCGTATCTGTTTAAAGGCATTCTTTATTTTTGATTGCTCTTCAACAATCATAGGTCTTGAAATTTTGACATTATCAGTTTTATGGAACGGGGCATTATCAAGTGAAGAAGGTTTCTCCTCCGAGATAAGACACTCACCTCAACGTAACATACGCAAGGTTTAAGAAGTAATTGTAAATAAACATGCACCAAAAACGAGCTGGAGTAGTTCTTTTATTCTCCATCTCTACCGCGATTCAGTACTTAATAACGGCGACACCGACTTGACCAAAAGCAAGAAGCAGAAACAAATTAAATTAACCGTGTGGCCATGAAAATACCATCATCCTGAGATGTGGATCAAAAACTGTGATTGGTTGAAACAGATCACCGCTGACAAAACATAATATAACTACTTGGCGAGGTCATTAAACCCGAAGTAATGGGTAGAAGTGAGGGACCAAGATTTTCTCCAACACTCCATAGATTGGCAAATAAATCCATAAACTAGATGAATTAAAGAAAGAATTGAAAAAGAACGCAGAACCAAACAAAGAGGCGAACACGAAGAAATTGGAGACAAGAAACCATCATAATTCCTAAGGCATCTTCTAGCTTTAGCTGGTACCGTCATCTCTGACTATGTACTGCTACCTCTGCGGAGTAACCGACTAACGACGTTCATCAACGTTTCAACAATTTGAGTAGCTATTAGAATAGCTAGTGTGTGCCCCATAGCTTGGCAGATAAATCTCAGAGTAATCAGATCTAATCTTTTACCTCAATCGATTGATTGGTAATTTGATGTGTTTTACTGTATGTGTGTCTCTAAATGAGTTAGACTTTCGGCAATGTCGGTGTCACCAGAAACAGTATTTGTTAATACTGTGAAGAACAGCTCATCAAAACACGATTCTCGAGTACGAGATTCCAACTGAGAAGAAGAAACACTAAGGTTCAATCAGAAACAAATTTAATTAAATCAATGTTAATATGCCAAAATTATTTACCTAGTTGTGTGAAATAGATTGTCCGCAAGATGAGTTTCGGTTTCGGAGATGACTAATAATAAACCAGATGATAAATCCAATGACTTCTTGGAAACTCATCCACAGAGGATCAGAAGATAGCTTCCACCAAAAGCACTTTTTGAAACCAATCATGGAATTCCTGAACTGTGGAAACCCTCGGTAACCTAGAACATGTGGTAAAGCATTACATCCACATAACTCGCTACTGGTAGCTAGAAGAATTCGATGTTTGAATCCGCAACGATACGTATCCACCAAAAAAGGAGTTCGAGTTTATGATACGTATGCAGATAGTACGTTCTTCCAAAAGTACTTGGGTATTACCACTGCATAGTGCCCACAAGAAAGGCGAAAAATAGAAACTGTGCTGACAAATATGCTATAGGGCCCCTGCAAAATAACCTCGACACCAAGGCGACGTTAATAATCAATATCGGAAGAAGATAAACCAAAACTGCGATAACAACAAATTTCGGTTTGTATGAATTTCATATATTCCTTGAGCTTTGTTTTGCCATATAAGCCTACCAATACCTAATGGAAGAGATGCTATCGAGACTAGTTTTTACTTACGTATATATCGATGAAATCGTTGTCGCTGCAACTTTGGAAAAAAAGCACTTGTAGTTCAAGATTTAAACGTCTGAGGGTGTATGGAATTCTATTAAATTTTGTTGAATACAGGCTTAATTATTACGTGATAACCTTACAATCTTCACCACGTCATCAAGAATTATCGAAGTCCTATAACAGCAAAAAAATTCTTCGATTCATTCAAGCACTCTACTTATTCCAACAAGTTATATCAAGCACTGCAAAAATTACTATGTTACTACTATGCTACTACCAAGAGCGACCTGGACTTGTTCACTCATCATCTCTCTCTGCTTCGATGAAAATCCACCTGTGACACCTGAATAATCAAAAAGTAGATGAGAGCGTGTTGAAAACGGACAGCAAAACGGCACTTCTACACCTACTACTGGGATTTGAAGTTATCAACAATCATGAATTGGCTTGATTCACAAACTATAAACGTGGGCCTGAAAGTACCATCACTTTGGAATGCGGACTAACAAACTACTGTTCATCATAGACAGGCAAGCACAATAAATTAAAAGAAGAAATAATACGCCGATTGGTACCAACACAGGACTAAAAAACGAGGTGATTATTAAAATACAAGAAAATCGGAGACAGAAAGCCATCAAAATTCAGCGTTACACAGTGATGAATATTTCTTTCAGCCTATGTGTAACAAATTATTGTAATAATCCATTTAGTTAGCTCTGTATAAAATACAATATTCCGATTTAAAATTTTATCTAGATATAAATGATTTTCTGAAAATAAACAATATCGATCTTTTTGCGTACTAATGCATACTGTTTTCCTTCTTAAAATGACCATTACATTAATGCGGAGACAAATTATTCCGAATTTTTACCGGTAAAGTTGATCGTAATTAAATGTTTTTAGGTTAATTAACGTAAAATGAGTAATTTTCAAAACTTCCATGGATCGGCTTTTGTTTGGCTGCTTTGAATATACAGAGTAAACCATCAACCTCTATACTAGAAGCGCGTGAAACTCTCGAAAGTCCGCCAAAGCCATCGGACAATGTTGCAAAAATAATGAAATTTTGAATGAAAAAGAAACTTTTTGGGATATAAAATATGGACAAACCGGATTCAGTAAAATTAAGTAAACCACCATATTACATAAACCACCAAAAAATACTTTTTGGTGGTTTATGGAAGTAAAAAGTCTTCGTAAAACAGACAATACTGAACCTTCATTTACGTCAACATCTTCTGATGAGGTTTGTTGCCAAAAATCCATTTCCTTCGTAATCGTATTGATCTATACGATCAAATTAAAACAAAACAATTAAAAAAGATGGTTTCTACCACAATGAGAAGTAAAGCTGGACTCGTTGTTTACATACCACAAATATTATGTTAACTCTAAAAATTGTTCTCTTTGGACATAAAATTGCAAATTGAAAAGAATCTCAGTCTTCATTTACCATCTTATTGTTAATAGTTTTTGATTTAAATAAGAAGCAGTTTTCGAATAGATGACTCACCCAATACTTTCTCACCGATTTTAACAAAGATAAACCTTCTTCGTGAAGCTTGATTACATCGAGCATTTGTTCTGATGTACATCTCAACCATTTACAGGTTTTTTATGACACAATCTAATTACACGATTATGCTTTAATGTCTTGTCTAAAGTCGGCGTTCTTTTGCAACCACGTAATGATTAACATAATACAACTAAATTCTAATCTGAACTAAATTCTGAATTTTATTGTAAATTTACACGTTGATAACTAATAAATCACAGAAGTTAAATCAACAATAAAGTTCATAAACATTTCAAATGTGAAAAGTGAGAAAGGAAACTATGAACTCATAAATAACTTATACTACTCTACTAAATAACTTAACTATAAGAACTTGAGAGAGGAAACACCGTAACCTTATCGAGCGGGTAACCTCTGAAAAATTGAAATATCGCATCCTACAACTTTGAATTTGTTAAAATATAAAACCGGTCTATTCTGAATCCGGATAGTTCTAAGTCAGACTATGCGAAGCAGTCGAAATAAATGCCAATATTTTGAACAATTAGTAATAATTGTGGTTATAAGGTAACTGTAAATAACTAACTGTTCCACCTAAAATCTGCAGTTCACTTTGAAAAACAGATCTACAATTTAATATAAAATACTTATAGAATAGTTATTATTATACGGAGCTTTGATAACGTATGTAAATTGTCCATATCTCTAGATATTGGTTATGAACAACATGAAATTCATTTTGAGACTCTCATTATTTAGTTTCATTTCTATAATAATAAAACATGATTATTAATTTAATCTATTTATTTCAACCTCAATGGTTCTAGCTGAAAATAATCTTGGTGAAAGATACTTTGTTCCGAATAGATAACGTTACATTTGTTGAAGATAAAGCAAATTAATTCGTAATTGTACTTTCAATTGTCATGGCATTTATTATCACAAATTAAAACTACTGCGAAGGATGCTGATGGCATCTAGGTGTAATTACCAAGACCTTTGCCGTCTCTTAATGGGTACATCATTAATTTTTGTATTTAATATACAGTGTCGTCGTTTCCTTCTTCTTGAAGATTCAGATTGATAGAAAGAATTGCAAAAATTATAGCTGATATTTTTTCCAACTTGTGCTAAATGAGTATTGTAGGTTTTGATGTAAGTTTTGATATTTGAATATAATTTTATCTCTTGTAATATTAAATATGTATATTTATTTTTTACTGGATTCTGGTGTAAGCAGATATACGATCTCGGGAGGTAATGAAAAGATGGTGAATCCACCCTTCAGCCTTCGGGTGTGCCTTTACGGCGACCTGTATCAAAATTGTAAGTCGCTCTATAACATTAGAAAATCTAAATTTTGTTTCCAAGATTAGGAAATTCAAACCGCGTTAAAATCGGTTCAACCATTTTCGAGATAAGGCGAAAATCATTTAAAGATTAATTTTCGCGAAAATATACGGTATACAGAAAAAATAAAATATACCTCGCATTGCTGACACATCAGACAGCATTTTAACCAAATATCCAAATTTTTCATACCCTGGTTTTCGAAAAAAAAAAATTCAACTTGCCGCCAACCTCGAAAATCGGTTTTTTTTTTCATTTAACTCACGATTTTATGAAAACTACGGAGTCAATAAATTTCAAATTCACAAATATAAGGTAGAAATGTTTAATGATGAACCTTACCGCGATTTTTGCATGAGACGGTTCTCGATTTATCAATCTTTAAACTGACTAGAATTGACTTTTCAAGTTATATCGAGAAATATTTATGTTCTTCATATTAACAGTGAAATTGTTAGAATACTTCATATAAGATATTAACAATATTTCCGTCTATAAATCGCTTTTATCGTCCTGCTATTTCCTTTACCTTCAAATTTGCCAACTCTTAAATCGCCCATAAACTCAACATCTGTTCTATAGTTGCAAAAATGAAGTCATATATCAAAATGATTTTCAACATATTATTTTGAACAAGAATACTGGCGATATGGTAAACGTTTATGTTTAAATGGAAAATAACTGTAGCTTGTATTGCGGTCTCATAACGTCCACCCTTGTGTAACAAACCTTAATCCTTACATAATTCGAGTTAGGTTAAGCCGCTTCAATCATATTGGTTGAACGCCCGCATGTCATTTTTAGTATTTACCTACCTACACGTCTTAAACTTATATCCCCTCCTTTTGTGTGTTCTAATTCTATCGATAAAGCCGAGGAATTAATTGGCTTTACATCTTCTTTCATTAAGTGCCCCTTTAGATAAGATAATACCATTTATGTCAAGAACAACAAATTGTTCTCCCCACATTTTTTTTAATTTACCATCTTAATTAACATTAAAATTTTCAATGAGTCATTCATTTATGTTTGTAATGTTGGGAACAATTCCCAGTGGTGCCATAAAAAAATTTTGATTTATAGCCCATCAAGGTAATGTACAATCCTCTCTTGCGTCCTAACGGTGATTATCGAATTCCACGTTACATGCAATACAACGGATCCATACATCTACATTAAAGCAGATATGGAGATTAATGACGAATGTCGGTCGATCTTGGTTCACCGCACCTGGCCGCACAATAAACCGTGAACAAATCATATTTTTCATTCATAATATTCCTCAACTTTTAGAATTTTTTATTACGGATTCTTTAGCGCGTTGAACGATACCACCATACTTTTCAACCTTTTAACGCCCTCGTTAACTTATTTATGCAAAAACACGAAAAAGCTGATTTAAAAATCTGTTTATCCATAAACGTTTATACGATTCGATGTGATTGAACAAATCATACATTCACAGGTTCGCTATTTCCCTCGAGTACTCATGAATAATCTTGTACGTAAACACACACGACACGGTTTCTAGTGTAATGAAATGCGGTCGATCTATATGGTTAGTTTTAGTGTTTACGTACGATACGTTATTCGTGCACTCGTACGTAAATGCAAATGTTCAATTGAATCTGGTTATTATGATCTACTAACCAATTAAATTTCTGTATGTTTTTAGGGTAACATATGGCAACAGTTACTGTCATTTCATTTCATCTTAGAACTTGTAAATACGATACCATTTACATTAACGGTAAGAAATTAAATAATGTTTGTTATTATTGTTCATAGCTTTTATAAATAATATGTTTGTATTAATATAAAATTAATTTCATTACAGGTTTTTTATCCTCCAATGAGAAATCTTTTCATACCCGTATTTTTAAATTGCTGGCTGGCAAAACATTCGCTGGAAAATATGTTCGTAAGTATCTTTATACAGAAAATAAGTGTTATCTAACCCGTCGTTTACAAAAGCATGTAAATTAAATTATGCATAGGATAGATTATCTTTAATGATGTGAGGCTCCACTATAAGTTATAATGCATACAGCGATTAACATGTTAATTTAGGTTCGGAGGGACCTGGAAAATGAACTTGGAAAATTAAAATAAATATTAATCTCGGTGGCTAGGTGATAGTGCCTTCGGAAAGCTGTAAGGCGTTCCAATTTAAACTTTCTTAATAATATAAACAATATTGGAGAAAAGTTTTAGGAACGTAAAACGTATTAAAGCGGTTTTACCTTTTAATTTAATTTTAACCACCCTCCATTATATCGTATGATGTAGTTTTAGATTATTCAGTAAAATTTTTATGTTGAAGCTTGATTAAGCGGAAACATTCCAGTTATATCACCTAGAAACACTAAACATATGAACTTAGAATAGACGGCTGAAACTTCGTAGGTTACCACTGTGTAAAATGTCACGTTAATATCAAACTTCGAAATACAGTACAAGTCAAATTAAGTTACCAAATCGTATTTAACAGAAATTTAGGTGTGTTTGAGGAGAATTAATTAAACTTTGCCCACCCACATTTTTCTTTCCAAATAAGAGTAAACAAATATTAAAAAAAATTAAATACAAGATGTTACAATTGAATTTGATTATCATAAATAAATTTGTTGGACGTGATTTGAAACATCCAATTCTCCGAAATTGTATTAAAACAATTCATGATTTATAATTTTGAAAAGTATGTTTTGAAATATTTTAGTTTTTGAGATAATTATTTTTGAAGTCCAAGTATAATAAATTTCAAAGTAAATTTTCAAAGCACACAATTTTCCGCGGTAGTAATTAAAAACCTCAATAAAATCGATTTATAAAGGAAGGTGTGATCTTTTTAATGGAAAATTGTGCTCCAAAAATACAATTTGGTTTTAGATGCAATTATTTTTAAACCCAGATGAAAACTTTGTCGTGTTTTCGGGTTAACGACTTTTTTAATTGTATTACATTAATCGAAGAAATAAAATCTAAAAGCTGCACTTCAAGAAAATAATATAGTCGAACTGTTGCGTTATTGTATGTTTTAGTGATGATTAGTGAGGTAGTTAAACAGTTTTACTTTGTTAATCGTTAGATTAACGATTAATACTATTACTATGTTTAGGGTATCTCAAAATTCTTTTCCAGGAGTTTCCAATGTTCTTTGTTGTGGTAGGTGTATTGAATTGTTTATAAAATAACATATCAAAACAAATGTTTGCGAACTGTTTTTGATGTAAGGTTATTTCCATATAGATCAGAAGTGTTCAAACTGATATTACAGGGTTCGACAGTGAAACCTGACGGTTTTTGAACATAGTGTATGGTGAGGAGGTTTCAGTTGGTGAGTGTTGGTACAATGGAGCGTTGCACTAGCGAGTACCAAGCCTTTGTCGTCGAAACGTTCTCAGATATAACGATTCTGAGACCCTAACACAGCGACAATTTCGTTTACGTTTTAATATTCCTCTTCGTGGGTTTATTTAGCATTACAGCTTTAGAAACAACAAGGAGAAAAGAAGGGTCTCACAAGACGACACTGCAAATATTGAGGCTGTACGAGTTGCTTTTGCTATTCATCATGTTCAGGTTCCAGGGATGTTCAATAGGACTGTTTGGCAGATTCTTCTTGAGGGCTTAAATTTTCAGTCATATAAAATTAGTGTAATTTAAGAATTACAGCATTAAGATTTCGCAAGAAAATTAGATTATACAGAAACAGAAGAATGTTTGGGATGATAAATGAAAACCTTAACGGTTTCACTAAATAAAAAATTCCGTTATTTGGGACCACGTAACTCAGCAAAGGTATCGGCAGTCTGTAAGATAGTTGTGATGGAACGACTGCGATCACTTCACGCACGTCTATGGCCCAGCCAAGAAGGTTATTTCCAGGTAGGTTGATCTCACTCCGAGGTGACATTTCATGGCCCGTACGTTCACCAGGTGCGATTTTTATCTGTGGCGGTGCGTTGATATGCCTAGAAATTTTGCAAATCTACAAAACAATATATAGCAGAAAATGTATGCAACTCTACACCAAGCCTTGGAAAGAGTGATGACCAACTTTGAGTAATAGATTTGAAGAGTGCAGAGAAAACGAAGATCAACTTGCATCAGTCATTAAACTTCCATTTTTCCTTTTTTAAATAAAAAGTCTCGATAATTTTAAACAGTCCTTAAATTATTCCATGTCAAAAACACTTTGGTTTCACTTCCGGACCCTGTATGTATCGTAAAACAGTTGTCGGCGAAAAAAAGAACGAAAATATTGGGAGGAGTGGGAGTACAATTGTCGATATATAGTTTGGACTATGATCCAATATCAGCTCAAGTATGGTGTAAAGTTGATAGGGTTCCGTTGATAGGGTAAAATGCGATGTTTATCGTTGACAACCCTGGCGAAGATAACTGTTGCTTGCTGAGCGAAGATCGTAATTAGATCGACATCACGTTCCTATTATCCTGTTCTGTTGAGAGACTGTAATCAGTGTCAGTGGTTAGACCCGGCTTTCACGAATCGTAGGTCCGCAGTCGGGTACACGCACTGATAAATTTAAAGTCTGAATCATGATCGCCTTAATGCTCTGCAACCGGTTGGGGGATCTGTTTGGTATAGTCTGAAGTTCAGAATGCTGAGATGATCAAGCTGTAGCAGTTTAGTCCTGCATATTCTTTTCGTTTTTGATACTTTACGCTATTGGCTTCCTAAAATGTGATTTTCATGTGTATATGATATGTGTTTATTTCTAGGTGTTTGGCGTATCTAGTTATCGCAAACAATACGTATTAGAAGTACTTAAGAACAGTCCGAATTAAATCTTCAATGGAAGGAACTACTTGTTTTCAGTTCCATCTTTAAGTTAATTTGATGTTGCGTTGATCCTATCCGATTTTCGTTGTCTCCGTTGGAGTGGTCAAGGCTATCACAACGCTGCCTTTCCTTTTTCATTGACACAGGGTTTAGACGTCAACACGGGAGGCGTTGGCTTTTCTAGCTTCTTTGCTGAAGTTCGATGCTTGCTCGAGTTTGAGATATCTACGTTGAGCTTTATTGTTCAGATTCAAACTTGCTGGGTTCTTTTGGGGTGATGTGTTGTGGATCTGGTGTTTTGTTATCCGAATCGCTTTGAAAACCCAAACAAATAAACGTCACATACCATGCTATGGCACTGCACATGTTAGTTCTATTGTCCGTGCCAGCAAACTATTAGCAACAGCGACACTGACTGACATTTTTTATAATTTTTATAATGTATTTCATGAGCTATTTCATAAAAATACGAATGGCGAGAATCTTGAACCTCGTGTTGACGTGTTGGCAATAAGCAGATAGTAGCCTACCAATAGCGATATGAGAAAGAAGACACTATTCAGACTTGGCTAGATTTTCTCCTGTCAACATATGTATACCTAATACCAATTTTAGTTAATTCGCCAAATCATACTGTTTACTTTTAAACGGTTCCAAAAACCTTTACTTATAAACTTTTCTCCTTCGTTTTTGATGTAGTTAACTTTTTAAAGTACTTTGCCAATAAATAACTATCTTTGCTTCAAGCGTTACCAGCAATGGGTTTAAAACAACTCTAAACAACTTCCAACTAATAAATTGTAGCATATCTTTGATTCTTTTGGCAGCATCTAAAGTGGTGAGGGTTTCTTTGAATTTGATCAATACATTGTTCAAGTGAATTTAAATGTTCGGAGCAATTCATTACTGATGATAATTCTCGGAAAGGGCGACACACCTACTTCAGGTCTTATAACGAGGGATTATCTAGAGACATCTGGAGTGTAATACAAGTCAAAGCGTTTTTAATGGCTGTGCAGATTACTTAAAGCCCGTTTACATCCAATCGTATTTTGTATTTGTGAGACCATGTCTTACTCCGGAAGAGGTTAACGCTTTATCCTTTACATCATTTTTCTTTTGTTGTGGAAACAGTAAAACGTTTGTCTAATTTTAAAAGAAGGTAATCGATAAAGAAGGTAAAACATACATCGCGACTGTGCCCATTATGAAGACCTTTCTATTCAGACACGTCTCGTTCCACATTAATAAGTACTTAGTCTCTAACAACACGGGTTTAACTGTGGTCAACATTTTATGACGGATGTCATCGATGTAAGATGCTAAGTAATTGATCATAAAAGTAATCATATTCGAGAGTGTGGTAACAATTTATACACTAGGACTCTAGGATTTTATCCTGCTCCCCAGGGATT